TAACATATATATATATATATATACATATACACATACACATACATATATGTTGTTGTTGTTGTTATGTGCTGTCCGGTCAGACCTGACTCATAGCAACCCTTCCTTGAGTTTCCGACTCAGTATCACTACGGAAGTATATATACGTATATGTATTTAGAGAGAGAGAGAGAGAGAAAGAAAGAGAAAGAGAGAGAGAGCTCAGTGAATTAAAAGAATTGCACTGTTGAGATTCCTGAAGAAAAACATATACACACCATGGAAAACTTTCTACTGACTTTCTTTACCTTTTGCAGCAAAATAGTGAATGTGTCAGAAAAAAATTTCACTTAAATTGACTATAATTTTTATAATTTCAGGGGTTAAGCATCTGAAAGGCCAGAATGAATCAGCATTCCCTGAAGAAGAAGAAGGTGTTAATGAGAGAGAGGAGCAGTGGGACCATTAATTACAGCAAGAAGGTTTCTTGGGAATGATAGAACTATGAACTTTTCTGAAGATCCCGTGGAACCCCACTGCTTGACTTCCAGAAGCATTCTTCATCTTTGCACTCCAATTATAAGCCAGTAGCACATGTTTGGGAAGCCCTCCTTGACTGAACTTTAGAACTAAGTGAAAAATGTTCCATATTACTTATAATCAAAGAATAAACTTTTATTTTATGGTGACTTTTCTTTTCAATGACTTAGAAATTTGCAAACATGTGAGTGTGCTAACTTTAATACTGCCAAAGCTTAATCCTTGATATCCTACTCATATGATTTGCCTTCTAAGATCAAATGTAAATAGCATCACTTTAAGAGTAAAAAATAAATATTAAATACATTTAGACATGAGTGTGTGCCTGCATTTAACTTAAAGAGAAATATTTAATGAAAAGGGGATTTTAAAGTTAAGATCAACATTTGTCATGTTGCAGTAGTGATTCCAAAATGATGACAAAATGCCAGATCTGCTGATGCAAAAAGATCACATTATATAAGATGTAGAGTGTTAAACATCCTTTCCCTCCAACAAGAAGACATTAAAAGTTACTTAAAGAAACAGAATTCTTTCCATTTGCTAAGTGGTGAGAGGTATGTTGTCCAACATGTCTACTTCTTAAGGAAAAAAACATACTAAATTTGAAATACACTATGACAAATCTCAGCACCTTTGTGGGAGCTAGCATTTTAAATATGGACTATCTATTCTATTTTTAAGGAGCTCTGGTAGCATAGTGCCTAAAGCACTTGACTGCTAACCAGAAGGCTGGCGGTTCAACACCCACCAGCCACTCCTCGGAAGGAAGGTTGGGCAATCCTACTTCCGTAGTGATACTGCCTTGGAAACCCAAGGAGGGGTCGCTATGAGTCGGGGCCGACTCAACGGCAAATAACAACAACAACAACATCTATTTTTAATTGCAGTTTAGTGAATCACTAGCACTTTATAAACTTTCCATATCATAAAATAAAGTTTATTAATTCATACATATGTTCACTCATTCATTAACTGAACAACTTTTTTTTTTTTAATCAAGTTATCCCTAGAAAGGAACTCTGACGGGAGTCATGAAAATGAAGGAAAGATCACATAGAACTGGCAGAGAAGATAAAGCTTAAGTCAAAGGCAAAGTTCTCCAAGATACTGTGTATTTGTTAAGTATAGTTTTTTGTTAATTCAAAGTTTTGGCTTCTGAATAATACTGATCATACATTCCCTAAGTGCAAAATATTCATACTACAAAATTTAGTGGGCATGGAGGCATGGCCAATTTGTTTCCCACATTGATGATTTTGTTGTTGTGTGCCATTGAGTCAACTTTGACTCCTAGCAACCATATGGGAACTCAGGTGGCATAGTGCCTAAGGCATTTGACTGCTAATCAAAAGGCTGGTGGTTCAAACCCACCAGCCACTCCTTGGAAGGAAGAATAGGCAATCTACTTCCATAAAGATATAGCCATGGAAACCCAAGGAGGGGTCGCTATGAGTCAGGGCTGACTCGACGGCACATAACAACAACAACAACATAGGACAGAGTAGAACTGCCCCACAGGGTTTCCAAGGCTATAATCTTTAAAGGAGCTGTGGTGGTGCAGTGGTTAAGGCATTTAGCTGCTAACCAAAAGTTGCTGGTTCAAACCCACCAGCCGCTCTGTGGTAGAAAGAGGAGGCTGTCTGCTTCCGTAAAGATTTACAGCCTTGAAAACCCAATGGGAATTGCCATGAGTCAGAACTGACTTGATGGCAGTAAGTGTGGTTTTGATTTAATCTTTATGGAAGCAGACTGCCACATCTGTCTCCCACAGAGCAGCTGGTGGGTACGTGCCACCAACCTTTCAGTTAGAAGCTGAGAGCTTAACCACAGAGGGCTTCTTTTGACAATATTACTGAGATTCAAATGTTTCATGTATGAGAAAAAATGAAAAGATTCCTTAAAAGCTAGTAAAGATGGAAATTGGGACAGGAAGAAAGAAAAATGTGAACTCCCTTGTGTGATCTTTATAGCAAGATTCAGGGAAGGAAAACGATCGTTTCTAAATTTGAATGTCTCATGAAGTAGAGATTCAGAGAGTTGCGTGGTGCAAACGGTTAAGCGCTGGCTGCTAACTGAAAGGGCTGTGGTTCAGACCCACCCAGAGATTCTGTGCGAGAAACACACGGTAATCTGCTTCTGTAAAGAAAACGCTTCGGAGCAGTTCCACTCCGTCCCATGGGATTGCTATGAGTTGAAATCAAGCTGAGAGTACCTAACGACATAAGAGAATACAGTAGAGATAAAATCATTTTTCATAGTTTAGTTTCCTGGAGGAAATGCATGCAAAACATTTCGAGGACTAGAAGTCCAATGTGAGTGAGTTACTGTTTCCTCTACTTTCTTCCTTCCTCCATCCCTGTCTCCCTCCTTTCCCTCCCTCTTTCCTGCTCCCTCCCATTCCTTCTATTCTTTCTTCTCTCCCTCCTTGTTGGTCTGTCTCACTTTTCCTTCTGAAGTTTCCAGACCACCTACTATGGCTATTTGTTTCATTTCCTGTCTTTCTTTCTGGTACAAATCTGATTAAGTCAATTTTTTTTTTTTTTTTTTTACTGACCAAGTTATTTGTGTTTGGAAAATATCCAGACACCCCTTGAGATTATTTGAGACACCCTGAGGTGCTAACAAATAAAATCGCCCCTCCTTTTCCTTTAACAGACACTTTCATAAATATTTTTCAGAGGATTCAGACAAACAAAAAGAAACCAAAGCTTTTGCCTATTTTCAATAGCATTTGGGAAAATAAACAGCATGGTTTCTGGATCCTTCTATTCTCTTCTCTATTCTCAAAGCACAAAGAGAACAAAATTAAAAGCATAACTTTTCCTGAGGTAATGCTGTTTTCTTCTATTATCCACACTCAAAATACAAAGAGATAAAAATTAAAAGCTAAAGTTTTCCTTAGGAAATGTGTTGGCTTTCTCAGAAATTTGAAGGACCAGTTAAGATAATAGCTTTTCAGTTTCGTTTTTTTTTCACACAAGTATACTTTACAAAAAGTTCAGTTTGGCTGAATGAGCAAAGAAATGTTCTGACCAAAACAAAGCAAAAACTATATTTCACAGACCATACTTGTAGTATAATGTAATGGTTAGTAGATGGGCTGTGAGTCAACCTGACATGGGTTCAAATCAACATCTACCAGATTTTAGACACCATTTCTCCATGTATAAAATGGGGATGATCATGCCTCCTACCCTGTAAGATCTATAAAATGCCTACCCCAGCTTAGTGAGCACTCAATCATTGGTGTCTATTACTGTCATTAAGGGGCAGTGATAGTTCTGTGGTAGAATTCTTCCCTTCCATGTGAAAGACTTAGGTTTAATTCATGGCCAAAGTACCTAAAATACAGCCACAACCAGCTGTCGATTGAGGCTTGCCCATTGCTATGATGTTGAACAGGTTTCAGACTAAGAAAGCCAAGGAAGAAAGGCTGACAATTGACTTTGAGAAATCAGCCAGTGAAAACTCTGGATCACAACTGTCCGGTTTTGTGCATGGGGTGGTCATGAGTCAAGGGCCAAATCCACATCAACTAACAATGACAACAACAAACATTATTATCATTATTAGTTTTAGAAAGGACCTCAGAGGCCATCTATCCAAATATTATCTAATGCATGATCCTCTTCAACATCACAGACAAGTTGTTTTTGAGTAAGTCCAGTTGCACCCCAAACCAAGCAAAAAGTTCTAAGTGTTCTTCCTTATGTTAAATGTTCTTTCCCTATACCTTCATCTATTTTTTACCTTTGAAACCTTCAGAATAAATTGAACTTCTTTCACATATTGCAATCATTCCACTATTGAAGAAGGCGTTGATGTCATCTCCTAAGTGGTCTCAACTCTGCATTAAAACCTCACTAGTTCGTCCAAACATTTTCTCATCATCCTGGCCACTTGCTTCTGCATCCTCTTCAATTATTTATTGCTGAATGTAGGAAAGGTTCTGTTAGGTACGTAAGCTGGAGATTATTTTCTTTTCCCTTAATACTTGAGGAAACTGAAGCAAGGAGAGTAGCTGGACAAGTCAGGATTCTAGGCTGGGTTCTTCCTATCATAAAATAATGTTATATCCTGTTTGTCTTTCTTCCAGGGAAAAGTTCTTTATAAAAAGCCAAAATTCTCAGACTAATTTATGTCCTTAAAAGGTTTTCACTATTGATTTTTAATTTTAATTCATTATATGCCAATGTTTTCTAAATTGTGCTTTTTATGATATGATTTTTTTGTTGTCCATGGACAAATTATTTTCATTTGTGTAGTTATAAATATTATGTTTATTAGAAAACTGCATAACTAGTAACCCATAATCCATGATTTTGGAGCTATTATGGTTTAGCATGAGGCAAATTTAAAATGCAAATATATTTAAAGTCATTTTAATGAAAATATTTAATTAATATAGTATAGATAAATATCCAAAAATTGCAAAAGTGCCATAATTGACTGAAGTTTTGGAAGCACTGGTTTTCAAGTGTTGTTATAAAAAATACTTAAGTATAATTATTATAGAGTTTCTTAAAAGCTATATGGATTTATGAAATCATAAATAAGCCACTTACATTTCATTGAGAAGGAAGGCTTTATCTGTTTCTTCAGCCACATTTAAAAGCAAAAATAGAAAAATAATATCTACCTACATTAAAGTGTTTGTGCTAATATGTAATTTTGAGTGGTTGCCTTTTCTGAGGAAGGGAAATGGGGGAAGAAATGCTCTTACTTATTTTTTAGGTCTCTTATTCCAAAAACCAATCTTCAGTGCCCCAGCATGTATACTAATTAATAGAAATGTTTATGTTGCTGTAATATTCAATCTGTCAAAAAAAAGTTAAACTTTCAGATCTCAGAACATCTTAACCGTCTGAAAAAATCTATCAAAGAAAGAAGAGCTTCTGGAAAATTATGGAGGGGACATCTTTGGTTTTAA